ATCGTTGTTGTGAATCACTCGATGGTCCTCGCAACTGACGTCAAAGCCTTCCTGTCTGTACTGTCACAGCATTTGCCACGTACGGTTAATCCCACTCATATTCGTACACCATACTGGTTTTTAATATCGATGCAAAAACAACTAAAGAAAGTTTTATCTTTCACGGTTTAGAAATATGAAAAATACAAGAAAAATCTTTCGATTATTTTCGTACATAAGGGAATCACAGTTTTTGTATTATAAAGTGAAGGAATATTCCGTTGTACAAAATTCGTTTCTGGCTGAATACTTTGAGCAGCTCATTCGCCGCAGATTGAATCAAATTTTTTAATTACATCGCTTTTAATGCTCCTTTTCGTTTAATTTTTCTTTCAGTTCGAGCGCATCAATCGTTCTATATTCGATTTTCTAATACAATTTCTGTTGAAATTTCGTCGAAGTATTGATCTCTTTTTCATTTTTACTTAATACTTTGACGATGTACAGATCCATACGACGATGCACGAGATGTAAAACACTCTCGTAAATATTACGTTACATACTATAATAACTGAAAGCGGTTTAACGCGTTCTTTAATAAAATTATTTATGTCGCTTTATCCAATCACAGAATGCAGGGATACTAAAAGGACAGAGGACGTACGTTACATAAATTACGCACGTTATACAATAATTTTAAATTCAATTTACACGAAACTTCACATGTGCAACGTAACACCTTCGTCCTCTGATCTATGCAATTGCAATTGCATTATCGAAGTCGGTAATATATCTTCAAAGAGAATTACATTTAGAGATCCTTGCTTCAAGTTTCTGCTCTGATATTAATCTGTAGAATAATTGCGAAATGTAAATTAGACATCTGCAATTCTAAAAACGAAGCAGAGATCAAGATTTTTCGTCAACGATTTTGAAACTGGATTCCCTTGAAAACATGCTTCCAAACGAGAAAATCGTATTGTGCATTTTTCACTTGCTTTCTCCGCGTAGAACAATTTCCTGCCGATTATACCAGCCAACTGAGTACGCGCGGCATAATCGACAGGAAACTCAATCTTGGTTTTCTCAAGAGGGGGACCCCGTTTGAAAAAAGTTTATTCGATGTTTTCCATCTTTCATCCCGCGATATTCAGTAGCGTTGAACACGCACCCTTCGACAACCGTTTGAAGTGTATCAATTCGACCGCTCGCGCACGACGAAAGGTTCAAGCGTCATGCTCTAAAGTAAAAACGGTAGATTGAATCGAGAAAAGGAAAAGAAAACACTGAACATTGCATGAAATTGACTGCACATAAACTTGCACAAGAAGTGAGTCTAAAATGAATCAGCATCATTATTAAACCAAGACTTATAATTAAAAAACTTGAATTTCAGCATAAGAAAATGTTAGAAACATTTTTATAAATTTCCTCGAAAATTTGTAAGTACACATACATCGAACGGAATATTCGCGGGTAAACAAGATTATTTGTGTACTTATTTTAAAGTCACGTTGCATATTCATGTTTATGAAACTTTAGTAAACAATTTACTAAAACTTCGATTATAAAATTTCCACGAAGGACTACATCGGTTTCCTCACACGCAAACGAGATTTAATTGCACCGGAACCTATACCCGACTCGCGTGTTGTACTAATGTCGTATCAAATTCAATCGAACGTTCAAGGCTATCTGATCGATCGTAAATCGTGTTAACTGCTTAGGTTTTTTGTGTCAAGCCTCGTGTGTTTGTTTCGCAAATAGCATTTTCCTTGGATAAACAATATCGGGGCGTCCTGTCGGCGGTAAGTATAAAGTTCTGTTCCCCATCGGTCGACTTCGATCCTCGGCCTTGCGAAATTAGATCACGCCAATAATTATCGACGCAAATTCCCTCTCGTTCCGGATTTCAATCGGAAACGTTTCAACTTCCGCCTGTGGACTCGAACGTCGCGAAAATTACTTTATCCCCGTCATCGTTCCGTTCTATTGGTGAAAAAACCGAGTTCCGTTCTTTTTTTCCGCCACTCTCGTTTTCTTCATTTCGGTGGAACGCGGTTAGAGAAGTTTAATATTCGCGTTATATACTTTTTTTTATTCCAGTCCCAGTCGCAGCTAGTACGGTTAACTTCGAATAATAAAAAAAAATTATACGGTTATAAGAGTCCACTCTGAAAATCCTGACTGGCGCGTTACGAAAGAATGTCTATAAATGATTCATGTTCTCGCCTGAGAAAAGTCCCTGACACCTCATGATTATCGCCCGAGGGTATAATTCAAAGAAACATGACAGAGAGAATTCCCTGCGAATTGCCTAATTTACTTAGAAATCATTTGGACTTTTTTTGAAACGAGCAAATTCAATGAACGTTTATTGAACATTCATTTGTGGATGTGGATGGAAAAAGTTCTATTAATCTGTCGGATGTATATCAATTACATTCGTGTTTAAGATAGTGGACAACAGTAAATTTAGATAGCATATCAATTTTAAATAAATGTCTGCAACTGAGACGTTATATAAATAACATTGTCATATGAATATTTAACTGATGTCTTTTTGAGAGCCATGTAGTACACATATAATTATGTTAACACACTGATACAAAAATGAATTCCTAAATGAATACCAAAGTATTTGCATAATTTTCATTGTGATAATTATTCGAAAAATTTGCGTTACAACCTCTCGCAGAAGAACTACAGAAAGAAATTGTGGTAGGACTAAACCTCGGGCTATGCTTGATGTAGTATTGGCCATATAGGAAATACAATGCCTCTCGATGAGTCATATTAAATTCAAATTCCCACCAGATTTTTACCGCAGATATTACCAGATATTTTTAGATACTTCCCATAACGAGGAACACAGGTCGCGGTATTATAATATCGACCGTACGGGAAGTGCACAATCTTTGAATAATTGGTCGTAATTGAATAAAGGGAAAGTCCCACAGCTGTTACAAAGGGTACGCGAAATAAATCTCGCAGTTCCCAATCATAATTGAAGTTATTGTTAGTTGTTACGAGAAACGCGCAACAACACGATAGAGTCGCGAGTAAATCCGGTGGTATGAAAAACGGGATAAATAAATTTCATTTAACATCTATTATTCCCTGTCTTTCGTGAAGCTCTCCCCTTTGCATTAGCAACGGATGAGCTGGGACAACGGATACGTGCACGTAATTGTGTCAATAAAAATAATACCGGCGACGCGATCGAATCAATTTATCGGATGCGGGCCCATTGCGCTTAAATTGCATCGTGCTCCTCTCCCCTGATTCGATTTCTGCGCGAAACTCGGAGGATGTGCCTGTGATTTCCATGAGAACCCGGCTGCTCGACTACAATTAAGTGAAAAACGTGGAAGGAGATTGCTCGCGACTGTTAAAATACTCGAATTGAAATAGTCTGGTACACAACCGCGGTGGCATCTAGAACAAGAACTCCAGTATTATTGGTAATCCCTTTCAATTCGGTTTTCTGTGAAATCTTTTATTGAGGATGTTAATGATTTAAGGACATACCGTGACTTTTGCGAGAATTAACTGTTACAATCAATTTATCTTAGCAAAAAGAACTCCTTCTCAATTTGGTTTTTTGTGAGAACCTTTGTTAAGGAAGTTAATAATTTAAGAATGGATTGCAACTGTTGTGAGCATTAAAAGCTGTTGCAATCAGTTTATCCTAATAAAAAGAAAAACTTGTTTTTAGTTTGGTATTCTGTGAAACCCTTTGTTTGGGGAATTAAGAATTTAGGGATACATCGCAGCTATTGTGCAGATTGAAAACTGTTCTAATCTATTTATCGTAATAGAAAGAAAAACCGTTAGAGGATCTTAAATAAGTATTATGTTGGTGTACACCACTTGTTGGGCTTCTTCATCATCAGTACTCCCTGTTGAATCACATTGTTACTAGTATTATGTCCCTAGATCCCAATATTTATCGTAGAAGCTCTTAGCGATAGGATCCTGAGAGTATTCCCATTACATCATCATTTAGTAATCTCTAAGAAATTAGGAGCCACCAGGGATATTATCTTTGTACCCACTTGAATAATTGAGAGGCATTCGAATGAAAGCATTAATAATTAAGTGGGCGGAGATTATGGCCTGCCAGCGACATTATTACACAGCGCATGGGTTGTACTGTAATTAAAACGATAAAAACGATCGAGGAAGACAATCGAAGAGATGCTCGTTAATTATAGTGTATCGTATCCTAGAGAATTTTTATTTTCCTCAGGGAAAGTATTGAATGTTTGTATATTTTTGTCATTTTATATTTAAATAGTTCAAAGTGGAAAAATGATCGAAATGTTAGCGATGAACTTATTAGTGCAATTTTATTTGTTTAAAAAGTAAACGTAGATTTTGTAAATAGAAGAATTATTGTCGATCATCTGCGAATGATGTAGAATGAAACTTTTAGAACGGTGTAATAGTACGGAAAGAGTAAACAAGTCTGGACGCATGCGGACTATGTATTGATTACATACCAAACCGGTAGTATAAAAAGTAAAAAAAAAAATATTAGAGTAGAGGGTGCTATCAACAAACTGTACTATTTAACACAGCGAGATGCATCTCCGCTTCGGACTAAAGATTTTTCACGTAAATGAGCTCCGTTGTTGCAGTGCGGCATAAAAAGACATCAAATGTCGCGTTTATATGAAAAGCTTCGCTCTCCATTTAACTCTTACCCGCAATTTCTATATTTTTCAGAAGAATTTACTGCCCGCTCTTGTAAACCTCTTTATCTCTTTAAACTCAAATTTAACAATTCAATTTCTACAGTAGAATTCAAATAAAACTTGAACATTTGAAAGTTTGAAAACTTGAAAATTTTAGGAATATACCAAAATCCTTTCGGGACAATTGACTAAATACTTAAAGTTGTCTTCTTTTTATGTAAATTCAACTCAAATTCAGATAAATCTCTACAATCAAATAAAACGTCTAAAATTCAATTTAACAACGTATTAATAAATCATGTTGTTTTCCTGATGTTTCAGTGGTTGGGTTTGGGCATCATGGCCGTGGGTGTGTGGGCATGGGCTGAGAAAGACACGTTCAACAATTTGTCTCGCCTCACAAACGTTGCGCTCGATCCAGCGTTTATCCTTATTCTAGTCGGTAAGTTGTTGGCTCACGCGGCGTTTTCGCCTTTCCCGTTGTATGAAGAGGCATTTTCAAATATTTAAACGCCTCACGAATAACAATCTTCCCCGCAGGTACCGTAACATTTATCATTGGGTTTACGGGGTGTGTCGGTGCACTCAGGGAAAACACGTGCCTCCTAGCTGCGGTAAGTACTCGAGAATTCGATCAAGTACATCAAGATCAATATATTTGATCTCATAACAGAATTTTCACTTCGAACGAGTTTTCGTGACAAATTTTTACGCCCGTTGCTAATTTTATGGCGGTAATTAGTTTGTATGATTTTGTACACGTCTGTTGCAGTATGCAGTATTTCTGGCATTATTATTACTAATGGAAATGGCAGCTGGCGTCTTAGGTTTCATTTTTAAAGACTGGGTAAGTCGTAAACTTATTTATGTCCACTAAGGTACAATGGCTTTTAAAGATTCAATGCGATATGTTGTTAGGCTACATACGTATAGCCTAGTTGAGTGGTAGCAGTTTCATATCTTGAGTTGTAAAACAGCTGGGGTCCACAGATCTAATAACAATTCGAATCATTTACATGCGTTGCATACGCAATTTATTTAGCTCTGAAACATCCTCTGATTACTACAGGCAACAAAGTTTCTCACTCTCGAGTGTCCCGCGGGACTATTAATGCGCAACAAGATACTTTCAAATCTTTAATATTTCTATTTGAAACAACTTACTAGTTGTTGGTGTAGTACCACGAAATCATCATCAAGATTAATTATAAAAATTAAAAAATTAATATCATTATTTCAATATAACAAGTTCTTGTTGCAACACTTGGAAATTATACTTTGCATATAACAATAAAACTTATCTAAATAAATCTTATTGTCTCTTGAACAGAAACTAATTTACCGTTAATTCAACTAATTCAATTTTTATAAAAAGTATTCAATTCTTCAAGCTATGAGAAAATATGAAATTCTATTCCTGTGAATTTTAGGACCTGCACACATTTATTTACCACCAAGCCGTTAGCCTGTCCTTTAAGTTGTTAGGGATGAAGCCGCGACCAAGAGCGCAACAAGCGCTTTACTCTTTTGGCCGCAAGGAATTTTGTTCTTAAGCACTTGCTTTGCCGATATGGATTACTGAACCCATTCAGCGGAACTAGCCCAGCTGGATACAGTCAGCGTGCTTCTGAGGGGTAAAAGCTCTCATGAAGTACCTCAGGCGTTTACCCTACACCTCTAATGGAAGAAAAGAAAAACGAAACCGCTAAGTGAAGGCGACGCGAGTCGGATAAATTACACTTCCGCGTCTGATTAGCTCATTCGGCGGAAGCACTCGGAAGTTGTTCATTCTTCCATATGAAGACATCGGTCATTTGTTTCTTAAAATCTGAAGCTTCCCATAAATTTCTTGCGCACCAACGATCTTGTGTAGCAGTAATGCGCTTGAGTAAGAGAAGCTTTATTGCCAAGCGTGTGTGAACAGTCTAGGGATGTTTCGTGATAAATCGAGCTCACTGCGCGCACTGTTTGATTTACATTTTCCTTGTGCACACATCTCTGCTGTTTATTCCTTCCAGTTATTATACGTACATATCATTTTATGAATTGGTTGTTAGTAACTGTCACTAATAATAGCTGTAATTACAACTTTGATTCGAATGACAGATAAAGTCGCAAGCCACTGGTGGCTTCCAAGCATTTATCATTCACTACAGAGAAGATCCCGATCAGCAGAATCTCATCGATTGGATTCAGGAGGACTGGGTATGCATTATGGTGTATGGCTCAGTTATAGTTGTTTATAGTTGAAATTGAAGTTTCGATTTAAATTTCTGCGTTAAAATTGTGGTCTGAATTTTATATTTGAAGATTCATTTGGGATCTGAACTTTGATTGATTCATTTAATAATTGTCTGTTTATTGAACAATTTTAGAAACCAATAGCGAGCTTTGCTAGAGACTTAACAGTCGTTTTATTTGCAGTTGCAGTGTTGCGGCATTGAGGGGCCTAAAGATTGGGATCGCAATAACTATTTCAATTGTTCTTCGAGCGACATTGGCTCGAGAGAAGCGTGCGGTGTGCCTTTTAGCTGTTGTAAACGAAAACCAAATGTAATTTCACTGATAAAATTTGTTTCAAGTAGAAGTTACTTTGAAAATGATGAATTCTCCTTGTCAGATATATAAAGGACCTATCAAATTTTGTGTTTAAATTCAAATTTGATTATAGAAGATCACGCTTAGATTTAACTTCGAACATTTATATCTTGAACTTTAAAATTAAAGCTATACCATTTTCGAAGTAGACATTTTGATTAACGATAATTCTTTTATTTTAATATGCTTCTACCGTTTATTTTCAGGAAATCATTAAAAATAAACAGTGTGGCTACGACGTTAGGAAACCTAGCTACGTAAGTAAACATCCTTTACTATGTCATAATAGTTAATATCGGAATAGAACTAGTCACTTACTTATCGTGTATATAAATTTCTTTTTCTTAGAAATTCTCTTAGCATTACTTACTCGCCTGCAGTTATTAATCGAAAATCCCCCGATTATTGTTATCGTCATCTATTGCGAATCATTTCACCGTCAATGTTTCTTTTTCTGTTCCATAGAACATTTTTTTGCTACAATGGCTCTCAGTGATTTCCGTTATTACTAGGATAAAGTCACTAGCAGCTCTAAGTTTGCGACATAGGATTGTTATGGACTTTCATTCTAGTAACAACATGTGTCATTAGAGGCTTAGTACTCTTTATCCCTGTTGGGATAATCAGTCAAGTCTGCAAACGTGCATTGGTTCAGCCTTTTATAGAAAGATATCCTAGTAAATTCACTCGAGTCAATAGAATATTTTTGATCCAAATCGAACAATACAGCTGCATTAAACAATTCTAAAATGTTGCTAGACCGTCGTAGCGCATCATTACGATAACGAAATTTCCTCTACTTACTAAATTCCAGACTTAGAGGCCTGCCAATACACAAAAGATTATGAGCTGTTGAATACAATAAATGTAACCAGAGAGATAGTACGCGTTTTTAATACATAATTGCATTTTATTTGTTTTTTTACTCCGTTTTGGTTTTTCGAAGTGAAATCGTTCTTTAAAGTTCCATAATAACAACTGAAGATAGCCAACATGAAAACACTCCATTTCCTTATATCCTATGAAAAATATATTAGATATAAAGCATTATTACAATGGAAATTTAATTGGTCTACAAACAAAAATTGCTCCCTTTTTTTATTTGGCAAAAATTGTATATTTTTATTTAATTTTGTACATATCTCGGGCATTACCCTTACTTAGTAAGGGGATTTCCCTTTGTATTTAGATAGTATAGCGGTCTAGTTGTGTTTTAAAATCGTTTATCTGTATACACGATGCGTCTTAATGATTCACATTGTTGAACCACTGTATCCAATTGGTAGGTTGTTACCTAGCAGCTGCAGGCACGATAAAAGTAGTTGTAAAAGTTGGAGGTTGAAGTTACTTGTCACGGTTTTTTTTAAATGGTTTCTGTTTATCCCCGGGGAATGCAGACTGGAGAGAGGAGTATATTCGAGAGAGGTTGTCTAAGAGCAGGCGAGGAGTGGCTAGAATTAAATCTCGTACCTGTCGCTGGTACTGTTGTCAGCACTATGGTTTTACAGGTAGATTCTAAAATGAATGTCGTACCGTCCTGCTAATTGAAAGTTTAAACTTTCTCTTTTTTACATAGCATTTACGTTGTTTTTTTTCACTCAAAAATCACGATCTTCTCTTTATAGTCGTGTCTTTTGGACCCTAATAATGCCTCACAGTTGTATTTCCCCTGTTACTAGGGCAACGTTCCTAACAGGCTTCCCGATTCCTTAGTGTTTCGTGTTCTTTTACAATGACTATGTCCCTAGCAGCTCTTAACCTGTCAATTGCTTCTATTGTCACTAGGATATAATCCCTAGCAGCTCCGGAAGTGTCAATGATTCATGTTGTTACTAGTGAAATGAAGTCTCGTTCCGGTTCTTAATTTCAATTGTAGAATAATGCTAGAGAATTTCTCCAAGTGACACCACGAATTATTGGAAGATATCACATCATGCGACACTAACGAGGAACTGGCTCGATTTTTTAAAAATAAATAAAATGCCTGTAAAAGATATCGTTAAAGATACGAGAAAGTTTTAACTTCGTAAAATGATCCTTTTTTGTTTCTCTTTTTTTCCATTATTATTTTTCTTTTTAATGGCGGTTCGCAATTGTCGCATGTAAATGTGACGTGGATGTAATCGTTATTTAAATATTTATTGTTTAATTTCGTTTAATTCGCTTGGAGCACACTATTTAACGATTCTCAGTTGCTCTTGTAATTGTAAATATATAATACATATATATATTATGTCGCGACAAGTATGTATTTGCATATTGTACTTGAGTAAATGAACATCGCTAGGCGTCTACACGAAGCAAGTAAGTACTTAGGAGAGCTGAGAATATTAACCAGCACACACGCAGACACTAATAAAGAACGTATTTTTACGCGTCTTGTTCGCACTTATAAAATGGTAAGTATGAGTTTGATTAATTGTGTGTAATTGTTATGTATAAAATTTGATAAAGAGTAACTTGATCCTTGAAATTTCAAATATCAAGAATTACCATTGAAACTTGAATTTGTATATACCGTAAATGTGAAATTTATATTTAGAGTAGCGATAACAATAAAAGAATCAATGAAAAGATTATCTACACGATTAATTATTACCATTTTTTTTTAATTTTCCTGACCAAGATTTAGTGTGCTGACGGTAATTTCCGGTGAAAATAACCCAAAACAAGACCCAACAAATTAATCATTTATTCTCGCAGATTTTAAAACGAATAGAAAACGGAAAAATTCAAAAAATAAACTAGAAGTGAATTCGAAAACGACAATTCTCTTTCTCCTCCAGCCGCTATTTTGTCTTCGTCGAATCCAATGCTGTTGCCATTAAACAGAACTCGGCATTTACTTACATAAAATTAATTTCACCGATTTATTTTATTTTCACACGAAACAAAGTTGAACAAACGAATGAACAATAAAATATTGGACATGTTACTTACTCCTTTATTACATTTCGAATGTCTTCCACCCAGTCTGCTACTAAATTATCTTGGATTAATCAATTTTCCCGCGAAATTCGAGAAAGTAGTCGATCGCCTTTGTTTTCCAGAACTTTGAAGTTGCCAAAGTGATTTATGAAAAAGGTTGTATTCAGGCTGGGGAAGAATGGGTGGAACGAAATCTCCTCGCGATTGCGACTGGCGCGGTTGGTACAGCATTTGCACAGGTATCATTTCTTTATTTATACGCATTTTGTTCAATTTAAAACGCTTTCATTTCTTCTGACAGCCTTTGACACTGCGATCGAATTACTTACGTTTCAATCTAACACAGTACCGTTCCGGGAATCTCGAATTTCAATCCTATTCATTTCGAGAAATTGAATGAATGGTCAAAATTCTATCAATCTTTCTGTGGAAATTTTATCAATGAATTAATCAAATTCCATTAATAACGATAAACCTATATGTAGGTTTCGGAAACGTATACTATTAACACTTTATTACTTTAGCAATCGATCTGTCATAAAATTGTGATGAAAATTTTTATGGCACATTTTCATTTTCATCTGACGAACGCGTGATGAACAATAAAATATATGTCTTTAATTAAATATAAATAAAAATTTAAATAAATAATATAGGTTTATTATAATTTACAATTTCTCGAAATTTTTGGGGTACTGTCGGATTCAAATTCTTTTTAATGAACTTGGCTGTAACACGTACACTTACTTACTAAAATGAATATTTTTGTATTTGCGATTCTTGTATTAATCTGTGTATATAATAAAATCGTGTAATAGGAATAGTAACAATTTTCAATCAATATTTACTACAAGTTGGGATTACTATGAGATTTAACCTCTGCATTCCGATATGAATATTTTTGTCACTGGTATTACTTTTAATATTAGTTTTATATTTATATTTTATATTCTTTCGTATGTATTCAAAATATAATGATATATTCGTATAATAAACACCCCATAATCACTATGGAATATTTACTTCCTGTCATTCGACTTTGACCATTTAAATTTGGTCACCTACCGAACTAGAATTTCGATCTCATTCTCTCGTAAATTCAGCTTCCTAACACAACGCATAGTTTATCTTCAACTGCTAAATATTCGTATTGTCTACTAAGTTTACACGCTTACGTTAGGCATGTGTGTGCATCACGTGGCTTGCCAATAGACGTTGCATGCGACTGATTGAAACCGAATGTTTGTCTCCGATATTCATGTTACAGTTTTTCAGAATTTTACAGTTATTCTAAAATTTCATCTCGTTTCAGGTTGGTGGGAAATAAATGGTCCATTGGCTTTCGCAATGTTTCGAACATCATACATCAAATATGAAATATTTCATTGCTCATTCGAGTAAACACGAGAAATTCTGAAAATTTTTATATCGTCTGTATTGATATTAGAACTTTCCTCTCTGAAAGCCTCGAAATCTCCGCAATACTCCCATTCATTCATTGTCAAGAAATTTCTTCCCTCATATGCCCACCCTATCGACGAAATAAAAAAAAAGCAAATAAAAAATTGAAGAACATGAAAAACTTAAAAAATGCCTCATTACAATCATTCACAATTGAACAAAGACATCTGTAGCAATCAATTTTCATTTTGCCGAATAGTACTCGTCTCGAATGAAAAGAATCATATCATATGTATCGAACGACCATTTCATTTTCCTCCAACGCGTCTCAGCTATTCGAATCCAATCAATTTATTTCGCTGAAGCAAGGAGTCGGCGTGGAAATCAAGTAAACGGATGATTATTTTCAGATTCTGGGGATCTGTTTCGCTCAGAATCTCCGGGCGGACATATTCGCGCAGAAGGCGAAATGGCATTGACAATCCAGAGCCCCCACGGCGGTGTAGCATCTCGTTATAATCGATGCTAGTCGATTGCGTTGATCAAAGCGGAAGACTCTTGGGAATGAAAAAGAGCAGGAAGCTGTCCCGGAATCTTTCGGCGTGTTCGCCGCTCGTTAACCAAAAGACAAATCGGCGTATAGAAGCGGTGACAACAATATCCAAGGACCTTGGGGTCGATCGACGTGACGTCGTGGGGGCGAAACGGTGGGCATGGCCGATCCCACCGTGAAAAGCGAAACTTTCCTACTGCCGTGATGAAGGCGGAAGCCATAGAACACAACACACAAATACACGATAACTTTCTGTAGCCCCAATTGGTCGTTAAAACGGTTACTGGGGCCACTTAGGCATATTGATCCTGTATTATTCGCCGACGCGTTCCCTCCATCGAACGACAACAATCATTCGACGAAGGGTCTAACAATCGATCGCGAACGCCTGCTTTCGGATCTGTCGAACGTTTCGGATTTTCTTCTCATCGGTTCTTTGGAACGAACGTTCAAAGACGACTACGTTAGCTCTAAGTTGCTGTAAGGGTGTTGGAAACTGCCATTTTTTTCATGAACCGTTTCGTCTGAAAGAGCCAAAGGATTGTATCTTCCAATTGTCAGTGCATTCGTCATGATCAAAGATATCGTGAATAATTTCAATGGTTTTCTGCCGAAAATCCGATACGTTTCAGAAAGAAACTTCGCAGTCGATTTCTCCAGCGTTTGTCGCGTCGTTTCGCGTTTCGACGGTGGGCAGAATTTTGTTTTGAACAAACGGTATTTAGCGATGGACACTTGTAGAGGACTTTCTAGAGAGAGAGCGAAAGAATTTTTTATTTTAACTATACGCGGAATACTCGGGAAACTGGGTGCATTCGTCGTTTTTAAATGAAATGAAATCATGCCCACCTTAGCTATTTTAGTAGTACGATATTATTGTTATTAATAACCAATTTTTGCTTCTTATTCCTTTAAGCGAAGGAAGGAGATCGTTTTATTCTAAGAACAATGTTAAATTTTGTAGATCACATGTGCTACTTGAAACTATGAGCGAATATATTTTTCTTATTAAAAATCGGATAACGAAACATTATTTTTAATGTATAAACCAGATGAGAACAATTTTCAGCTGATCAGTTAATATTGTCGACTAGATCCAATTGCCATAGATCCAGACTGTTTCATCTTGTGTCCCTATGTTGCGAATATTCTTTGTAATGTCATCGCTAAGCTAGATCCAGTGTTGCCATAGGTTCAGATTATCATTCAAGTGTACAAGTCGAATTATCCTTTTATTTTTCATCCTGTGTCTCTACATTAAAGTAGATCCAGTTGCCATAGGTTCAGACTATCATCCTAGTGTTCAATTTGAATCGTTCCTCCTTTGTTCATTTTGTGTTCTCCTATTGAAGCCATTCCATTTAATAATACTGCTAAGTTAGTTCCAGTTGCCATAGGTTCAAACTTTCTTAGTATCGCAGGCGAGTCTTCCATTCATTTTCCATTTTGCTACTCCATCAAAGTTATTTTGCTCGCTGCGTCTTGGAAGAACTTAGCAACCGGAGTTTACATGAATGTTTATATTTCTCATCTTGTTAGGGTTTTATGTTGATGTATGATAATCGATGTATGTTTTTCGGTCTGCTATGCTTTACGATATTTAACATTGTTCTTCTCAATCGATTCTTCAAGTGAGACAAGTATTGTCAATAACGTTATGATAAGCAATACGAATGAGTTGTTGCTTGGAAGCGAGATGTACGTTTTAAAGTGGCTGCCGAGATTATTATGAAACTGAATACTGTGAGAATGACAATCATACCGTTCATTGACACAATAAAATATCGTTTCTAATACTTTGTGATATTCCTCAGAGTAAGTACGCGCATTCCTTTCTAAGTACATTTGAATAATGGCGGCATACGTTGAGATTCTAGTCCGTCCGTTTGAAAACTGATCAGTTAACTAGGAAAAGTTGATCCATATCATTATATTTGTTATTAAAAATAAAAGTTAGCT